CATAGGAAAGTTGAGATGGAGACTTGCTGCCCACTCTTACTGCGCTCTGCAGATGCTTTTATTCTCCTAAAGACTTCCCTCAACTTTTCTCCCCAAAAAGCAGATGCATCAATTTGCTTTTTCTAACAATCTCTGTGTTCTCATGGTTTTAATTGTTTTGTTTTTTTAACCAGAATTATCACACTGTTTGCACTCTCTCATTTTTTGGTTATTTGTACATGTATCTGATTTTCTGCCTCAATATTGAGCTTTTTGGGGGCAGATAATATTTATCTATGCTTTGTACAGTTTAGCTTACATAATCCACATAGGTTTTTAATTTCAGGCATACTCTTGAAATGGTAGTGTACATAAACTTTTATATCTTGTTTATTATTATATGTAACTATTACAGCATATTTTGTGTAGCCTTTATGAACTTATTTGTAAAGTGTTGTAGTTTTTTTTGGTTTTGTTTTTTTAGCTGAGCCATCCTGCCACCTGTTGGCAGCTGAGCGGCAGCTCAGCTTGGGCCGGGAATTGAACTGGCTACCCTGTTGTTCAGAGCTTGCACTCTTGAGTGAGCTCTTAACCAACTGAGCCACTCGGCTGGCCCTTGCAGTTTTAAATTATAAACAAAAATGAACTTTTTATGTGAACACCTTTGATTCTATTTATAATATTGCCCAGTAAGGAATTGGTGAATTCAAATAGAACAAACATTAAAGACTCAACACATCTTGCTGAATTGATTTCCAAAAGAGTTTTATTGGCTCTGGTAGGCAGAATCCCATAATACCCCCTCAAGAGTTCCCATTCTAATCCCCAGGACTGTGAATATGATCAGATATCATGCCTATGATTATGCTATATTATAGCCAAAGGGAGATTCTCCACCTGGGCCTAATCTAATCACAGGAGCCTTTTAACAGCAGAGTTTTCTGCAGCTGGTAACGAGGGAAAGTCAGGAAGAGTCGGCGTGAGAAGGATTCTGTGTATGAATGTTGGCTTTAAAGAAGAGAAGAAGAGGGCTGGCCGAGTGGCGCATTGGTTAAGAGTTGGCTTGGGACACTGGCTCTAGTAATCAGGGCCCTGGTTCGGATCCCACATTAGGGCCAGTGATGCTGCTCCCTCTACAGCTAAGATGGTGAACAACAGCTTGACCTGGAGCTGGGCTGCCGTGAGTCGCCAGCGATGGCGTAGGCTGCAGTGAAGCTGCAGTGGGTTGCCATAAGCTACTGTGAGTGGCTAGCAGCCAACGTGAGCTGCCAAGAGCCGCCATGAGTGTCCATCCAGTGGCCAGCGACTGATTTGCCTCACCCGGGAAGAGCGCAATGATAATACCAACATGGGCCAGTGAAGCCATGTCCTCCACAACTCGGCTGAAGAACAAAAGGACAGCAACTTGACTGTTCCTCTTCCCCAATTCCCCAGCACTGTTCCCCTCCCTTAGTTCCCCAATAAAATCTTTAAAAAAAAAAAGAAGAGAAAGAGAGACATTTACAGGACCAGAGTGTGGCTTCTAGAAGCTGAGAGTGACTCCTGGCCCACAGCCAGAAAAGAAAGCAGGGACCCCAATCTTATAGCCACAGGAAACTGAATTCTGCTAGCAACCTGGATACCTTGGAAAGCAATTATTATTCAGTCTCCAGGTAAGAGCCAGCCTGGCTGACACCTTGATTTTGACCTTATGAGATCCTAAGCGGAGAACCCAATCAAACCCATCTGGACTTCTGACCTATAAAACTGTAAGATAATAAATGGATGTTATTTTAAGCTGCTAAATTTGTGGTAGTTTGTTATGCATTAATAGAAAATGAATACATTGACATACTCTATTCCAAGTAATACACGAAATTGTCCATGTCTCTACAGGTAGCAGTGGACAGAACTCCAGAATTGTGTGCTATAATTAAAATAGTCTGCTAAGACATTATTGATTAAATTTGTTTTTCTTTGATTGCTGGTAGAAATGAGCAAAAAACTAAAAATTTTGTTGGCTTCCAAGAGCATTGGAGTGGGAGAACTGATGAAAAAAAAAAGAGAGGAAATTCTGGATGAGAGATTTGATACCGAGAGAAAGAAAATTATCACAGAAAAAAAGATTCTATCTAAAAAGAGTGGTGTGTTGAAGCTGGCTTGTCCCAACTTATGAAAGCCAAGGTTTTTCAGGAATCTTGTGAGTCAGCTGTTAGATAGCTATTATTAAAAATTAAGGTATAACACTTTCAATTAAAGAAGTTATATTAAAAACACAGTTAACAAATATTTTACATTTTATTATATATGGCCCTGAGGTTATTTACATCTAATGCATCTGAGTGGTAGAAATACTATGTAATTGTTCATTTTTTTTACATTTCTTCCCAACTCCACATTAAGTGATATCACATTTGAAGCTTGGAATTGGCCATGATGGGAGTATTTACACGATAGAAATTGGCAAATGCCTTTTCTCAGTCAATGAGATACCACGAAAGTTTTTCTGAGACTTGGATCAGAGGTAGGGCCTTTTTCCTAGTGGACACAGACCCAAGAGAATGTGAAGTCTGGCACACTGGCAGACATCCTGCCAAAGTGAGCAGTGACTTGCAGTGAGAATGGAGACAACATAGCAAAAGACAGAGAGGTGAGAGAGAAACACCAGTGTGTGATGCCAGTATGAGCCCTATTTCCCGCAGTACCTGATCCCACCCCTAGTCCTAGCCTTTTTGATTAAATGAGCCAATAAATTTATTTTGTATTTAAGCCAGTTTGGGTTAAATTTTCTATCATGTACAACTGAAAACAGCCTAAGGGATACAATAGAATTCGCATCAGGTCTAGAATCACTCCTAGCCACCAAAAAGCCTTAGTAATTTACAGGGATGGTAAAACTCCTGCCCTCAATCTTGTTCTGTTCTTGTTAGTTATAATTCTGAGTTTGACAAACATGTGTTTGCTTCATATAAGGGTTTAATAAGCCTCGTATCATTTCTCTTGCAGGCTGGGATCAGTTCTTATCAATGAACACTTTGTTAGTGAGAGGCAATCTCCTCAGGCTGTCTAACAGCTACTGTGCCCTACTTTTCTCTTCCTTGATAATGGAAATCTTTAATTCTGGGTGGCAAAGCCCCAGAAGATGAGTTATGATTTTTCTAACCCCTTCATAGTCATTGTATTACCCTTTACCAGGTAGAGTGGACCCTTGAATAATTCAGGGGGAGGGGTACCAACACCCTCAAAGTCGAAAATTTGCATATAACTTTTGATTCTACAGTTGGCCCTGCATATCTGAGGTTGGTTGAATCCATGGATGCGAAACCAGCAGATACAAAGAGCCAACTGTACTTATTGAAAAAGATCTGTGTGTAAATGGATCCATGCAGTTCAAACCCGTGTTGTTTAAGGGTCAACTGTACTTGCTTTCAAGCAGAGGCCTAGGCTAACATATATGTCTGTCTTAATTTTTAACAAAAAAGTTTAAAAGTAAAACAAAAATAGTTAAAAATAAAAAAATGCTTATAGAATAAGGATATAAAGAAAGAAAATATTTTTGTACAGTTATACAATGTATGTTTTCCCCCCCCTAAGATTTTGGGGAATTGGAAGAGGGAATAGCATTGAGGAATTGGGGAAGGAACAGACAAGTTGCTGTTCTTTTGTTCTTCAGTCTAGTTGTGGAGGACATCGCTTCACTGGCCCATGTTGGTATTGTGATCATTGTGCTCTTCCCGGNATGTTGGTATTGTGATCATTGTGCTCTTCCCGGGTGAGGCAGATCGGTTGCCAGCCATTGGACGGGCGCTCACGGCGACTCACAGCAGCTCACACCAGCTGCCAGACGCTCATGATAGCTTATGGCAGTCCATTGCAGCAGGGACTACAGCCTATGTTGTTGACGGCAGCCCAGCTCCAGGTCGAGCTGTTGCTCACCATCTTAGCTGTAGAGGGCAGCATCACTGGCCCTCATTTGGGATCTGAACCGGTGACTGTGCTGCTCAGAGCTTGAGCTCCCAAGCCAACTCTTAACCAATGAGCCACTCAGCTGGACCATACAATGTATGTTTTAAGAGAAGTGTTGAAAATAATTGAAAAGTTAAAAAAAGTTTATAAAGTAAAAGAGTTATAGTAGACTAAGGTTAATTTATTATTGAAGAAAGAAAAATAGTTTTTTACAAATTGCTGTAGTCTAAGTGTACAGTGTTTATAAAGTCTACAGTATGTAATGTCCTAGGCCTCCACATTCACTCACCACTCACTGACTCACCCAGAGCAACAACTTCCAGTCCTGCAAGCTCCATTCATGGTAAGTGCCCTATATGGATATATACCACTTTTTAATCTTTTATACTATATTTTTACTATTGCTTTTCTATGTTTAGATACAAAAATACTATTGTGCCAAATTGCCTATAGTATTAAGTACAGTAACATACTGTACAAACTTACAGCCTAGGAGCAGTAGGCTGTGCCACACAGCCTAGGTTTGTAGTAGGCTATACCATCTAAGTTTGTATAAGTATACTCTGTGGTGTTTGCACAATGATGAAATCACTTAACGATGCATTTCTCCGACTGCATCCCCGTTGTCAAGCAGTGCTTGATTGTACTAAGTGCCTAAAAAGTTCTCAGAAATGGTGTGTTCATAAGCAAGTCCTCATAGAATGATCTGGGCTCGATTTAGTTTTATTTCCAATTTTAAAGTTACCATCTATGAACTGGAACCTTCCAAGCCCCTGCCCAGCCTCTTGGTATAGTTCCAGTCTACAAGGATGCTGTTAATACTTCCAAGTTATTTGCAGACAGGAACTCAAAAAGTGACTTCGTTTCCCAAACATATATTTATCTACTTAGATAATTGTTACCATAGTATTCAAAATATGTCTAGGAATAATGTAGCATAAATAAGAAGAAAGAAAGATGTCAAACTGAACCAATACACAGTATGAACCTTCTTTTCAGGCTCACACAGTAACAACAATACAATTTTTCTTAGTATTCAAGGTCATCTTGACCTTATTTAATCTTTAACTGTGCATCATAAACATATTTTTTCTTGAAAAACAATTTCCAGGCTACACAAAGAAATGTCAAACTCAGTTTATCAGCTTTAGAATTATCAGGGGAGATGAAAAACACAGTATAAGCAAAAATACTTATTTCTATAGGCTACACTCTGTAATTACACAGCAAGAGAGGAGAAATTCTTCTATTGGTACAATGGCTATCTTACATGTATTTTTATTTCTAAGAATTACAAATGGAACTATCGGGTTCAAAAAAGATTTTGAAGAGATGATTTTTAAATGATCAAAAAATTTGGAGGCATATCGTATGCATGTATAACGCACATGGTCTCTTAAGAATTTATTTTTTTAAGATGAGGTTGGCAAACTATAGTCTGGTGGCCAAGTCTGGCCCATCACATATTTTTGTACTGCCTCGAGCTAAGAGTGGTTTTTATATTTTTCATGATTTAAGAAAAAAAATGAAAAGAAGCATACTCTTTTATGATATGTGAAAATTATTTTATATCCAAATTTTAGTATAAATAAAGTTTTATTGGAGAACGACCCACCCATTCATTATGGATTGGCTGCATTCATGCCACAATGGCAGCGTTGAGTAGTTGTGCAAAGCCTAAAGTATTTACTGTCTGGCGCTTTCCAGAGAGAGTTGGCCAACCTTTCCTTTAAGAGCTTTCCCCTGTGAAACACTGAGGCCTTCCATAAACTGAAGACTTCTTCACAGAGATTTCTTGTGTTAGTGGTACATCATGTTTAAAAAAAAGAAAAGAAAACGCACAAATTTAGTAAAGGTAATACAGCTGCCATATCATAAAGTAACAGACATGTCTTTATTAGATTCAGGATGCTTCTTTTCTTACTTTATGACAGTGTAGCACAATTATTAAGGACATGTGCTTTAGGATAATTCTATTTTCTTGAATCTTGATTGGCTTTCTGTCAACCTTGGGCTAGTTACTTAATCTCTCATAAACCTCGGGTTTCCTATGAAAACAGAGCAATAATGGTACCAACCTCATGAAGTTATGGTCGTGTTAGGTGATTTTTTCCAAAAGAAATTATTTAGCTTGGTACCTGGTACATAGTAGGTGTGCAATACATTTTTTAAAATTATCATCATCATCTGAAAATTTCTGGGGGTTTGCTCCTAGGACTGCCTGTAACTTCTGCTTTGTCAAGGAAGTCTGCAAAAACCCTGCTTAGGTAATTTCACACAGCAAGAGTCCCTCTCTCTGTATTATCTGTAGAAAAACTGCCCTAGGTGCATGAATCCAAGCATGTGCTTGGCAGGAAAGTGGAAAAAAGGAGGCCTAGGATGTTTAGAAACAAAAGACACAGGGACAAAGAGTGTTGGAAGGCTGGTCAGCAGCTGGATTAAGTTTGTGAGCGGGAAGTTGGGATTATGCATGTTAGACTCCATTCCAACTTTTTCTATGGAGAGTCCACAGTTCTGTGACAGGCTGTTGATGAAAGCTTGCTGATTTAGTAGCTAAAGTCTTTTATTAGAGTAGATGTAATTTTGGTCATTTTATGTTAGGTTAACACTGTGATTTGTTTTTATTACTTGATGTCTTAGCTGATGTTTCCAACTAGAAACATTCTTAGAAATCATGAGGGTATAGTGTTGCAATTCTTGGAAACTTAGTGATTTCTTTCCTGCTGGATTTGCTGCTATCTCCTGCCGGGGTTTGTTCTGCTCCTAGAGTCATAATGACTCTGGATTCATGCAGAGGAACCAGAGCCCAGTGAACACATGATGGTGCCTCAGCTATAATGCTACCTCCCTTTTCTTTTCTCATCTTGAACTAGGTCATGACCATTGTCAGCAGTGGTCTCTTTGGCTCACCAGGCGCAGCCCGGAGTCAATTGTTAAATGCCACGAGAACCTTCTTCAGTTGGTTCTTATAGAACGAATCTCTGCTTAAAGAGAGCTAATGGGAGAAAAGTCCTCTAAGACAAACAACTCTTTCATCTCCCCATCCCCAAAAATCATTTACAGAAATATCAGAATTCCAGAAGGCAGTACAGTAGATATCTCCACAATACAGCAAAAACCAGAATTTTTACAGGTCCACTTCCTTTTTTTTTTTTTTAAGTTTTTATAAGAGCTTATTTGAGCCAAATTGATGACATATGCTGGGGAGCAAGATCTCAAATAGTCCTCCACTTCCTTTTTCATTTTTTAAAATCACATAAAACAGTTTATACAAATCTCACTTGTTTTTACTTCCTGTGTTCTGTTTGACATATTGTTCGGAGGAAAATCCCTTCGGACTTGATCCTTGTTCCTCAGTTATGGTTGAACAATTATGGTTAATCAAGTTTAGCCACTCAAAGGAAGAACAAAATACTTCAGCATTCTTATATATTTCAGTTGGAATCATGGTTAAGAAGACAAATACAAACACGCATACATCAGCCTGGTGTGTGAGGATAAAATCCTACACTCTAATGCTCACACTCATGCCTGGGAGAGGAATGGGGTGGTGTGGAGGTGACCTCTGTCACGGGTAGGAGTAGCTCTCATCGTCGTATTCCAGCTCATCTTCGTCATCATCATCCAGCAGCCCATATTTAAATTTCCGGTAGACAGTGCCATCTTGGCCCATGTAGACGATGTCATCATCGTCATCTTCATCATAGTCGCGGTCCCTGTACTCAATCACCTGATCCTCTTCAAAGTTGGTGCTCTCGTGATGGCTGCTCTTATAGGAGGAGTATGACTTGCTAGGGTCAGCCAGCTTTTCATAGCCGGCCTTCTCTGCTAGCTGGGCTCGGCCCCGTGATTTCCTCCAGATGATCACAGCTGCCCCGAGCAGAAGCACCAGCACGATGGAGGAGGTGATGAACAAGCCTGTCTTGAAATGCTCAGGTGCAGACCTGATCTCACTTGCTCGAAGGATGCACTCATCTGTTGGAAGATGACCCCAAAGGAAGAGGGCAGAGGGGAGGGGTGAGAAAGAAGAGATGGAATGGGGGAAATTAGTTTCTCAGGTTAAGAATTTCATCTTTATCTTTTAAATCTAAAATGGTAGAATCACTCTCTCTGGTTTTTCTCAAAAGGCATATCACTCTACAGAATTGCCATTTGTACCCCCATGAGAGTCCCAGTCTGAGTCTGGTGATGACATCAAACCCTTCTAGGATAAAGGTCAGTTTGAAATACAAAGGGGTCCCCGTCATTTCCATACCTCATGGATCAGTTGCCAAGTATCCATCCTTACCGATGAATTCTTCTATTTCTCTCCTGAGAGAAATATTCCATCTTGGGCCATGCTTCACTTCTTGCTAAATAACTGACTTTTTCTAAGACTAAGTCCTCTCCCCAGCTACCTTTAAACCTGGTCCAACATGATTATGCCACCAAAGGCAAGAACAGATTATTTATAAAACCATTGACTCTTATCATTGTATGGGGCCTTAGATATTACTTGAGTCAACCTGTTGCTTGTCAGTTGAGGAAACTCAGGTCCACAGAGAGGAGGAAGTGATTGTCACATTGTAAGAGCTAAGAGCTTGTTTGTGGAGCAATCAGAATTTGAACCCAGGAATTCTAACTTCCTGTGATAGTCTGAAGATATTAGGGTAAAACGCTCTGACAACTGTTTTTTTTTTTTGACGTTTTGGCATTCTGTGGCCATAATCTGGCAGGAAGAGAAGTGCCACCTTTAAATTTCTTCTATCATAATTAAGATTTCTGAAGTTGAGCGCTCTGCCCTCTGTCATTTATCAGCCTCTGTTTTGATGCCTTAATTGAGAATATGGAGTAACCAAAACTGTCACAAAAGGAAAGATTAAACCATAACTTCAGTGATGAGCTATTTTTTCTTACTTTTCACTCACTTATTCGAGTGCTATGATTTGGGTAAGTTACTTAATTTTTTTTTTCTTCCCTATTCTTTAACCCATCAAATAGGAGCGTGAAAGAAAGTATGGAAGAACTGGAGAAAAAAACTAGCAGGCTGTGTTGGATGTACAAGTTGAAATACACACTAAATTTTCCATTAATATTTTTTGAACCACTCAGGTCTGTCCCCAGGATTCTTTTATGAGAGATTCTAGGTACATTGTAAATGCTAGCTTAATAATATACTGCTGCCAATTATTTTAAGGGCAATTATTTTTGCTTATGGTATATTGGCTTATTATATCTGATTCATCGCTACTATGTCTCTCTCTCTTTGCTAGTGATAAACAAGTTTTCTATTTTATTATAACTTTCATTCTCATGGGATTTTTCCCATTAAGTAGAATTTCTTCTTCTAAAATAACAGCACCATCATTATGGCTTCCATTGTTAGCAATATCAGCACAGAATTTTTCCCTGGAGGAAATATTAAAGCACCAGAGGGATGGGTAAGCAATCCATGTGTGGTACTTGGAGATAAATACTGCTTAAGGCAGGAGAATCAATAAAAGTCCTTTGGAGGTTGTTTCAATTGCCCGGTCACCATACGCAATCATGTCTTACTATTCTGCAGTCTTAGATCTGCAGAGTCATGATCAGCCTCCGGGATCTGGCTTCTTTGAAGGGACAAGTGTCTCAGTGAAGAATGAGTAGGTAATCAAGAGAGGTTAGGCTTTTGCAGA